AATTAAATTAAAAAAAATAAATGAAGAAGCTAACATTAGCTACAGTCTGTCGTCCTGCTCTCTTTGTCTTAAGCATCACACTGCGGGACAGTCCGGTACAGCTTTCGGTACTTTTCCTTCAAGTTTGGTGTAGTCCATTATTATTGTTGTGTTGCAAATAAAAATAAATAAGATTTGTGCATGATGTGTCTCCCACATCAAGACGGCTCTCTGCTCGGCTCAACAGGGCCGCCGAGGTAGAGTAAGGCGAGGCTGAGCGCAGCGCCGCCATCTACTGGATGAAGGCAAAACTAATTTGAAATAAGGCTTAAATGGATGCTTTTAATTAAACAAATGGAGCAAACTTTAATCTAATAAATCATTATTCAACAATTAATCGTAAGTCAATTAATTGTTTGCATCTCTATATTAAACTCATCTCATCCCTGACCCAAAGGGAGCATTTTGCTTTTTTCTGGCAAAAAGCTAAATGTGTGTCTTAACCAAAACTTTAGCCTTTAAATAAACTAAACCCCAACAATGCTTTAAATTCACACGTGTCWATGTTTGCATTTTGTCAGACCCCTGGAGACCTCTCCTGTTGCTGTCACTATAATAATTAGGCATCTCATGTTGGAGAGAGTGTTGTTAACACCTCAGGCAAATCCCTGTCTTTGTCAGTAGCTTTCTCAGATATATTCTGTTTTATTAAAAATTTGTGTTCATGTATCTCAGAAACACGATCAGTAACCTGAAGCTGGTGGCAAAGCAGGTCACACAGTCAGAAGCTGCAGCCAAATAACAAACCAGATGGACCAAAGCCCTGAGACAATACAAGCATTTTGAATCAGACTGAGCTGAAATTAAAGTTTTTAGGAATGAATTTAGCTTTACAAACTGATCTGATGATAGAAACTTCAGAAGCTGTAAGCACGTGCAAATAAAATAACAACAGCAAATAAATAAAATGTCACATGAAGTATTTTTGGTTTGTAGGCTGCTCCCGAGGCATACGAGGAGGGGACGGTTTTAAATCCTCTTCAGACGAACAGACAGCAGCTATAGATTGAGTAAATCTCTAAGATTTTTCTCTCCGTCTAAAATTATAGTGTGAAGAAATGCCGCAGACAGTGGTGCTGTTGTCCCCACCCTGAACTAAAAACACAGAGAAACCTCACAGACTGATGAGAAAAGACAGCAACACGGCAGGGTGTGTGAGGTGAAATAAAGAGTTTAATTACAGAGAAGCAGCTTCTGTGTTAGGTTCAGATGCATTAAAATCAAATCACTGACTGAAAATCTTTTAAATTTATGGTTTGGAATTTTAAAAAATGCACATCACCTGCCACTTTTAATGCCAGAGTTTCAAACTAAGAACTTCCTTTACTAAAAAATGATGAAGCTGTAGCTGGTCCAACCTTAAAAATATTATAATACGTGATGTATTGTGAGATCTCACGTTGTATGTGTAAAGCACGTGTCAAACTGAAGGTCTACGGGACAAATGTGGCCCATCACAACTTTTTTACGTGGCCCGTGAGAGCTTCAAATCTGTTTTAAAGCCAGCATTGACAATAAACTACTTTTCCCATCATGCATGTCAATTATTTTACCTGTGAAATGACGGCCTCCCACCACTAGGTGGAGCTGCACAGTGTTCAAAAGTAGCCAGTGAAATTTGCCGTGTAAATTCTTTTCACTGCATTTTTGCCACATTTTGCTGCAGCCCAGTTGTACTGGGAAGTTGTAATTTCCCACTTACAAGTCGGAAATATAAACTGGAATGCCACTCTAGTGGGAATCCCCTGTTGTAAAGTGGGAAAGTTCAGAATTCGAGTAGAAGCAGCTACTCACCACAACTCAACAGTGAGTAAAACTCTTATCTACTTTTAATACTATTTCTGTACTATCGTTTTACATTTAGACAGTCGTACACATACTGTTCAGTGTTTATAAGAAGACATGTTAAAACGCTGTTTCTATGCAGGAAATACCATGTAGAGACCAGTTGTTTGTTAGCGGTGCTCAGCTGTAGCAATGAGATGAGGAATGTGATGTTTCCTGTTAAAATCAAGTTAACTACAACTGACTCTTTGAGTGCCACCCTAATGCTCATCTGGCCCTTTGTTGAAAATGTGTTAATGTAAAGAGAAACATTATCTGTTTAGCTGCAAATGAACTGTGTAGATTAATAATCGCTAATATATTTTAATGTTATCAAGATCATAAAATACATCATGACATGGCATGATCTGGACATCACTCACAGGCGAGGGGGGAGCTCTTCACAGCTGTGTATAAAACTATTGTCTTCATTTAATTCACAGAGCAGCTCTAAGCAGGCAGAGCAAGACGTTTTCTGTGATTTCGACTTTTCTCTGTATCTGCTTGCAATACTCAATATGTTTGTACACAATGAAGTCTTTACTTGATCTGTTTGTGAATTATTATTTCTCCACTACAATATGTCAGTTGTTAGAGTTTGTGTTGCGGATGACTCCCACAACTAATGTTAGCTTAATATGACTGAGGTATGGACATTTTTGTGCCTAATAAAGTTGAGTAGTTGTGGCAGCTGTCTTTAATCACATTAACTCCAAAAGTTAATCTGTTGTACATGTACATAAAACCATCACATTCTGAGAGTTCCAGTGGTTCATGAGATATTTTGCTAACAGACATACACATGAATGCAAAGACACAGCAAAAACATTATCTTGTGCATTTCTGTGGCGTGTCGTAGGAAGTAGAACCGTGTTATTTGGGTTAAAAATAAACATCTGAAGATAAATGATTAAATTATGTTTAAAGGGTCAATATTGTGTGTTTCTCAGGTACTGTATATAGTTCAGTTCTGTACCATAATAAAACAACTATGTCACCTTGTAATGAAAATGCTGTTTATTTGTATAAATCAAAAATTTATTTGACTTTGCACCACAGCCGCTTTTAAACAGCTTGAAATTGGCCTCCGTAGGTCACGGTTTTAACAGTTTCCTTTGGTTCCTTCTTATAATTAAAAGTTGGTTCAGACAGAGCAAAAAAGCTGCCTAAACATTTAAAAGAGAAACAAACAACCACAAGCAAATAAATAACTGAATAAACCAGAATATTTCTGATAAACTTTAAATTTGCTGATGCTGCTCAAATCTCCAGCAACATCAACTTTATGTTATGAAGCCCTACAGTAACTCATGACTTTCTTTTTGTTGCAGAAAAACATGGTTTACTGATAAAACTGTCTGAAAACATGTTCTCCCAAATCATGCTTGGATATTGTTYTGTTATAAATTTAGTCTTAAATTAGTCCTTTCTGCTTGCAGAGAATGTTTTAGAGAGAACAATAAAAACTGAGTAAGCCAGATGTGGGTCATGAAAATTGTCAAKAAAGTATCTTCCTTAGGTACCTGGTTCAAGAAAAATAATAGTCTCCTTTATTTAAAGAGTAACTTACCCCAAAATTAACTTTTTTTAGCTGATAAACTGTCTAGAATGTGTCTAAAATGTTATAT